CTTCAACTCCCAGAATTCCTCAGCCAGCAAAGCTGGCTGAGGAATTCTGGGAGTTGAAGTCCACAAGTCTTAAAGTTGCCAAGGTTGGACACCCCTGCTTTAGAGTTTGGGTTGCATTGAGCAGAGGGTTGGACACAATGGTCCAAGTGTTCTAGTTCTTTGATTTTACCTCCAGGTTTATGAAGATGGATGAGAAGGATCAAAGGTCCCCTTCAGCAGTGTTGTTCAAACTCCGCAACTTTTAAGATGTGGGCACAGTCAGCAAGGCTGGCTGGGGAATTCTGGGAGCTGAAGTCCACACGTCTTAAAGCTGCTGAGGTTGAGAGACTCTGCCCTAAAGCAACAAGGAGAATTCTGTCATGGAAATCCCAAGACCCTTCACTTTCCTTGCTGATATTTTGCCAACACTTTCCAACCTCGATTTATGCAAAGCCCGATATTATTATTAGCATTATTATATAATCCAGCTCCAGGATGCTTCTTTGCATTTCAGTACTGATGTGTTTAAACAAAATATATGGAAGGACTTGTTGGCAGCCGGTGTTGTTTTGTTAAGCAAAAATATATCTTCTATCAAAACCACTTAGATTTCCTCCAACTTTTTATTTGATGGGGACATGCAGTTTGAGAAATAGAAAATGGAGAAATTACTGCTTTCTGAAATTCCCACATTCTAAGCTCCTCAGGTTCTATGTACATTTTGAATGAGCGTTCATTTAGTATGAATGCTGCTATTTCTATTGGTAGTGCAAATGCAACACAACAATTCCACTTGATTAACTTTTTATGGGATTATTTCTTGGTTAGTCCATTTCAAATTGAACAATCCGGATAACTGCATTTGTTTTGCTTCTGATAAATTGCTGGTGATAAATTGCTCCAGCAATTTCATTTTTAAAAAAATTATTTGCAGAATCCTGTGGAGCAGCAACTGGTAAAAGGCTACTAGTGCAGCATGTACTACTAGAGAGTTGCCATTCTCCCTTCCTTGTAGATTTTGCAGAAAAAATACCTATCTAGCACTGCTTTTAAAGCTCTTAGAAAGTGCCTGAACCTTATATAAATACAGGTGCAGGCATTGGGTATTAAAAATTTGGCAGTAGACTAATGGGATCTGCTCTCGTGCGTCAGAATATGTACTCTGAAAAGAACATCCAAAGAATAAATAGTTGTGCAATGGTGATTGAATTTTTTACCCTCACATTTTTACTCTGCCTGGTTCAGATACTGATTATCAATTAAACAGAAGAATAGTTTACAAATCCAGTGTCAGCCAACTGTTTGCAAAAGAGAGGAAAATGTTACTTTCTGGTAGTACTGAGAAAAAGAGACAGAATCATATATATGCCTAAGAAAATGAAGAAAAGAGCTAATGCACCTCCCTCTTTCCATGTTCACTGTCTCAAACTAAGCCCCAGAGAGAAGTTCTCCAAGCAGATGTTATGCTATTTTTTGTTGACAACTAATAATATTTTTGAGAGCAAGAAGGAGAAAGAATGTCTAGTTTTGTTTGCTTGTTCCTTTTTAAATAAGGGGCCTGGATTTCATTTGGAGGGTTAGATAAAAGTCGAATACCATATCTGAAAAGATTGTGAACTCCTGGGATATATTATAAAGATATGGCAAGGTTAGACATTCACTAGAAGTGAAGTCATGCACTTCTGGCCCACTCACTAACCTAAAACATGCATTTCAGAAGATTGTTCCCATATGGGATCCTATCTGTGTTCTCAGCCCTTAAGTTGCTGAAAAGCAATACGCCATGGGAATATGCTGCCACAGGCCTGGTCTATGGGCTTTCTATGGGCAACTGATTGTCCACTGAGGAATGCATAATGCTGGTCTAATAATGGTTAATTGTTGTCACCTGAAAGGGATAGGCTCTGAACATATATGGAGGAGACCAAGAAGTTTCTCGTTTCTCTTTTTGAGTACCATTACCTGTAGAACATCCTTGTGGTGGCTTCTTACCCTCCTAGCCTTCCCTAGTCTTTCAGGGGTAAGCCACTTGATGTCCTCTAGATTTTTGTTCGTACACTTACCATTAACAGTACTTCTTTGAAGTTGATGGAATGATGGCATTTAGATCAGCCTTCCTTAGCTGGTGCTCTTCAGATGTGTGGCCTTTGGCTCCCAGAATTTCTAGCCAGATGTCCATTGCTACATCGAGACTATGTATGTGGAAGCTGCCAGATTAGAGAAAACTAATCTGGACTACAAAGGGAAGACGGGTATTCCTCCAAATAAAGATGCCCAACTCTTTGGCTGCCACAATTAATCACTGGTAAGGACTGCAGTCCACAACATCAGGAGAGCCACCGATTTCTTTCCCTTAAACCTAGAAGCAGGGGTGGGTTTCTACCGGTTCTGCCCACCTCTGTAGAACCGGTAGCTCTGAAGAGCAGCAGACATAGAACCGGTTCTGTGTCTGCTGATGTTTTTGCCCACCTGCCTGCCCGGGCTCTTACCTGACCTTTATTTCCTGCTTTTTCAACTTCAGCTGCCAGCTGCAGTTAAAAAAAAGCAGGAAAAAAGTGCTTTTTCAAAGGCTGCTTCTCAGCACACAGCGTGCTGATGACAATTTAGTGCAAGGAAGCACATCGTAAATCACTGAACCTCGTAAATCACCGAACTGGTAGTTAACCCTGTCAGATCCCACCCCTGCCTAGGAGGTACCCATTGATTTACATAATAGTCCTCAGTTAGCAACTGCCCAGTTTAGCAACTATGCAAATTTACAACAGTGCTGAAAAATTAGCTTTACAGCCAGCCTTCCAACTTAATGACTGTCTCAGCATCCACAATCACACTATCATCATTCAGGCACTTCACAAATGGTACACATTTATGATGGTTGCTGTGTCCCAGAGTCGTGGGATAGCCATTTGTGAGCTTCTGATAACCTTATGCCCATTTGGCTGACTTTTCATAGCAAATCTTGATTTTAGAGCAATTGTCCATTCGTTCCCATTCTTTTAATGGCGTTAACTTATCTTCTGTCCGGCTGGTATTGACTGTTAGTGACCACACAAGGCAGTTGCTGCAATCAAGTCCATCCATCTTGCTGCTAGTCATCCTCCTCTTCCACTTATTATGTTGTTACTGTTTGTCATACAGTCAACCAGATGTTCAGAGTCGATTTGGCATTTTCACCCATCGCCTGAAGTCTTCCCAAAGACCTGGGGTAGATAGATGTGGATGGTTGATGGTATTGCATTATTATTATTACTATTGTTCAAATTCGTACCTTGCCTGGCTGATCTTGCAACTCATAACAATGGAAGAAATTACGCTAAAATCAATGAAACATAAATAAATATAGACGGCAAGCCTGATGAAGTGAGGGGGCTGGAGTGGGCGTGGCCAGGATGGGCATGGCCAGGTGAACATCACTCATGTCGGGGGTGCCTGTGGCAGCTGAGCACTCTGCCAGTGAAAATGGGCTCAAAAGCTCAGTTTTGGGGCTGCGACGGCCTCCTGCAACCCTCTGCCAGCAAAAATGGAGCACACGGCCCTCCTGAGCTCCGTTTTCACTGGCAGAGGCACTGTAGGCCAGTCCCTGGCTGTTTCCGGAGCAACTCCAGCCCGCGGGCCATGAGTTTGACACCCCTGGCCTAAACAAACAGGTTTCCTAGCACTGATGATGTTACCTAGTTTGAATAATAAAATGCCTGCAAGAAAACAACCAAGCTCAGAGAGCACCAAGGATCCTCCTAGATTTTCAGGTCTTTGCAAATTTTCAAAATAGAATAATTTGAACCTGGACGTTTGTGCTTTGAACAAGAAGTGTGGATTGATTTGTTTTATGATATATTTATCTTGACTTTTCATGGTATTCTCAGGAATCTCCTCCAATGTGAAAGTTCAAAGTACCTGTTCCTATTTCCTCAAAATACAAATTGCACTTACACAGAGAAAACCACTGCTTGTACCATTCTGATTTTTGCAGGTATATTTCACATTGTGGCATTTGAATATTTCCCCCCCAAAAAATATTTTATTGCTTTGTACCTAATCTGTGACATATTTCTTGACTTCTAGTTTTTTTTTTCTGTTGATAGTCAAACTTATAGAAGAGACTATTTGTAGCTCAGAGTTGAACTGTGGGGCCCTTAGTGCTTTCTGAGCTTGGTGTTCTTGCAGACATTCATTACCCAACTAGGTAACATCATCAGTGCTAGTAGGGAGTGGGGTTTGCTATCATTTTATAAACTAGTGGCTTACCCTGGCAGTTTGGCAGTGAACTGTCTGCAAGAAAACAAGTGCAGAGAGGAAGAAAGACCCCATGGCCAAACTTAAAAAGCAGAAAATACAGTATCCACCACGGATACACAGACACATAAATATTTAATATTGGACTAGAAGACCTCCAAGGTGTCTTTAAACTCTATTCTT